CTACGCAAGGAAGATAATTCTGCAAACAGCTGCAATTGCAGGTTTTCAAACAGAGATGGCGACAAAGAGGCTAAATTTACGGACTGCAGATTTAAAGGGGTCATATAATGCGATTTCAAGTTTCCCTTTCTCTTTGGAGTGTTACAAGCTGATTGTGCATAGATAAGATCCCTGAAGTTGCAAGGAGGGACTTTGTAGAAAATGAAGCGTTTGAGAGAGGCGGGGCATAGAGGACCTACAATAATGTACAGTATTTGAAAAGTAATGTGTTTTTTGAACATTAAAGCATGTCAACATATTCTGTTACACCAAATACACAAAATAATGATCTTTAAAAAATGTGACCATATGACCCCTTTAAGTGTTTTTCTTTAATTGCTAATGCGACCTTTTTTTACACCACAGACTGAACAAAATTAAGCATTGCTTGGTAATTGGTCAACAAAGTATTGATAGTTGTGTAAATATTGTCATACTAACAGTTGTCTGAATTGGTAGAACCTCTGCACGCAGGTGTCGCGCACAGACAGACAGTAGCCTAATGATAACCCCTTTCGTGCTCTTCCCAATATTGTGACAAACACCACTGTATTTAAAATATATAATTTGAAGGAAACTGTAAGATATGAACGTTTCATTTTCAAAATGTTTTGTTATTGACGCGGTGAGTCAGACAGTTATTTGCAAAAAAAATAAAAAAATAAGGCCTATCTCTTTCCATTTAAATATATAACATCCTAAAATATATGTTTACCTTATAGGCAAAATTTCGTACATTTGATTTGTTTAAAACAATTTAAGATACTATTTGGCCAGTGGAAAAGAATGAGAACAACTCTGAACACTTAAAATCTACGTAAAGTTTTATACATGAGGCCCCAGAACTTCTGTGGTTAAGGCTAGATGGCATACAGCAAAAACTACTGGGCATGCGCACATCAATATAGCATAAATTTTCTCACACTGTACAACAATAATTACTATTTTTTGGCATTATTGTAAGTTGTAGGTTTAGGGTTGGGGTAGGTGTACAGCAGGGCTGTCCAAACTCGGTCCTGGAGGGCCGGTGTCCTGAAGAGTTTAGCTCCAACCCCAATTAAACACACCTGAACCAGCTAATCAAGCTCTTACTAGGCATACTAGAAACTTAAAGGCAGGTGTGTTGAGGCAAGTTGGAGCTAAACTCTGCAGGACACCGGCCCTCCAGGACCGAGTTTGGACACCCCTGGTGTAGACGTTAATAAAACACAATCTAGGTAGAAAATTCAATTTATTGTTAGCTTCCGGTTTTTGCTGTATCCCTTGTAGCCACAACCAACTTCTGTCTCGTCATCCTGAGCAGAGGAGCTTCTTCGGAACCTGAACCAAACCATGAACCAAACACACAAGACTGTGAACCAATCAGCTGCTTTGATTAGGATTGACACAGATTAAACACGGAGCTCCACCTGCTGCTAACCAACATAAACCTTAAGCCAGTTTCTGTGTCATATGTACAGTAAACAATCAACAGACACAATGTCCTTCATATGATCTAACATCTACCTTAATTTAAATGAGAAAAGTGAACCATCAGTTCTGTTAAAGGCTCGTATCGCGTATTCTGCTTAATAGATGCGTAGGCTGTATGGATTTACAGTTTTGAAGAACTTTTTACCAATACTTAAAAACAAACAAAAGAATTTTCTAATCAGGCCTATTTGTAGCGCGTTATAATAAACCGTTAAGCGCTGTTTATTAGGATAATATAAAGAAAGGCGTCTTCAAGCAGCGAATAGTTTTCAATATAAACCGCTAGAAAAGTGAGAAAACTTCAGCAATCAGACTGTTCATCATATATATAAATTAGATGAGTGTGTGTGTGTGAGAGAGAGAGTATATGCGATACTCACCATTCTTCAGTGCGAGCTCCCGCTTTTGATGTCATCCGGTTGACGTCAGGGGATGCCGCATGTTACATTTACAATATCTTAAAATATGCAAAATGTCCGTATTGAATAAAAACGTATTCTTTTTTTTTTTTAAAGAGGTGTATTAATTTTTATACGTTTTGTAGTTTTTAATTTCGATGTTCAGTAGAACATTTAAAAATGTATCATTCTTGAGACGTGGGACAAAACAGGTCCAGCAAGGGTAACTGCTATCAGCTTTAAAAAAATACAAATATTTTACATTTTAAATGTCATGAGGGATTAATAACACAATTATCACCTTCAATTTAATTTTCTCATTATTATACCAAATCTATGTTTCTTAATGTCCTCTCACTACAACTAAAACAGTGTGTCCACAGAGAAGGGTTCAATCATTCATATGCAATAAAATGGATAAAAATGTTTTTTTTTAATGATGAAAAATAGCTTGTTTTATCAAAAGCAACACTTAATATCTCCTATCAAAGCAAGGTTGTTTTTTTTAATGACACATGCATGTTTAATACGATTTTAAAATTGCGTCCCCACGTTTTGTCAACACCGTCAGACATTCGTAATAAAATCAGGGAATATCAGGGGCAGCTGTCACTCTAAAGCACCCCCTTGCCACAGTTCACCTCTGCAGAGTACATCAGTGTCAGACAGGCTCTGCTAAGTTTTAGTTTTAGAATATTTATTAGAATATTAGAATATTAATTTTAGAATATAATTAAATTAATGTTAATATTTCCTGTGTCACAGCCATGATATGTCAACACCATCTTCCAATTTCTGAGGAAATTATTGGAAATATTTAGATAATTTTATTCTCCTGAAGCAGTTTCCATTAGCATCTAGCATCAACAGAAAAAAATAAAATGGCTACTACATGAACTCCATTGGTTTTGTGAAAGAAATGCCAAATTTGTCAACACCGTCAGATGTCACCACCATAAGATTTTGTGTTCCAATGATATATCAAAATACTTAAACGTGACTCTTGAATAAAAGCTTTATAAACAATAACATACTCACTGTTTGTTTTAATACAGTAATTGACTGATTCAATGTATTTGATAGTTAAAATGACTACAAATCCAGGTTTTCGTCACCTCCATCAGTTGATTATTTTGATAATATTTCATTATGATATTTTATATTTGTTGTGGAATTGTTGGTCACATGTGAAAGTGTAATCTGTCTGCTAACACGAGAATGTGTTTTGAAATGTTAAAAACATCTTTAATGCTGTTAAAGATAAAGTTGAAATTATATTATACAGTCCAAGGTAAAAAAAAAGAAGCACATTTTGTTAAAAAAGAGAAAAGTTGGGGGGTTGTATCAAAGCATAGCTCAGCAGCTTAGTACATATAAGATACATAAATGTAGTTTAATTTATCTGAGTACAAGGTTTTATTTTTTCAATTTTGCACCGTTTTGTCCCGCTTCTCAAGAATGACTGTGTTGTAGAAAAGAAATCAACATATGCACATTAATTTAATAAGAATAATATGTTTTTTTCATATAGCCTTTTCATATAATAGAACGATAAATATAACGATACTATTATTAGTCACGTACTTACAGAGATGTAATGAGAAGCAGCAGCGGATGTGTTTCAGCTTTCAGCGGCTTCAGTGCCGCTTTTACTGCTGTTATTGTTGTGGCTGAATGTGATGCTGCTGCCCTCTGTATGTGGATCACATGAAATCACACTCATGAACACGGACATGTCGAGCGGACGGTCATCTCGTCTGTTTAACTGAAGCTTTATGATTCCGCTCGAGTTTGGAAAGAAAAACGCAGCAAGATGCCACAGAAGCTGCTGGGCTTCGTGGTGGGGCTTCTCTGCACAGGGACGTGTTTAGTTCAGGTAAGCCGGCGGCGCGGCCTTTGAGGCGGCGAGTGTTGAACTCGAGCTCCGGGATCAGCGCGGTGCGAGGCCTCGATAAACAACTCAAATAAAGCCATAAAACCAGCATCGTGTAACAATGGTTATAAACACCTTATGGCCTTTCTTACGGGATATATTTAAAATAAATATTAATATTTTACATTTTAAAATCACGGACATTCAGGAGATGAAATGATTCGGGGAAAAAAATGGTGGTTATATTATTGATGGTTTGTGATTGTGGGGTGTCTGCAGTGTTTTAGTATGTCTGTAGGGTGTTGTGTCAGTTCGCCGGCTTTGTGTGTGTTTGTGAGGTTTAAGTTTGACTCGTACTGATTGTGTTTAAAGGTTATTGTGTAGGTGAAAGATCCAGCGCCCATCATAGTTCACAAGCAAATAAAGACTCACCTGTCCAACAGGCAACACTGTGTTTCCTATTTATTTATACAGTATTATATTTGAGGATCCAATTTCATTGATATTACTATATATAATTGTTCATATTTATTGATTGATTTCAACTTTACTTGCATTACTTTGTCCTTATAATTTTAGACCAATATGTGAATTGTGACAGAAATCAGATTTTGAGTGGTGAGTCTGGTTTTCAAACGATGAATTTGCCTTTGTGCTCCTAATAAAGGAGTCACACTCTTTCTCTGAGTGTTGTGAGTGTTTACTGTCAGTAAACGCTGATGTAAAGCCTGGAGTGCGCATGATGAAGAGCTTAGATCTGTGCTGTTGTCTTTCACTCAATGCTTGTGTTTGTTTGACAGGGGAAGGAGTTTTGTTTCGGCGTGAACAATGAACAGTACCGCTGTGAGATGGGCTACTGTTGTGGCGAGACCGAGTGCTGCACGTACTATTACGAGCTCTGGTGTAAGTGCAGCAGCTTCATGTGTGTGTGTGTCTCTCTCTCTCTCTCTCTCTCTCACACTCACTCACTCACTCACTCACTCACTCACACACACACCCACCCGTATGTGGTTCAGGCTCACACGCATGACAGTACAATGCTAGTGAGGTGTTTGGTCCACCAGCCTGTGCATGTTCATTTCATATTTCAGCTCAATATCAAAAGGAATAAATGGAAAATTAGGTTTTGCTCTATGAAAACAAAGCTTGTTTTAGGGCTCGTTTTTTGCATTGTGACATTGAAACTATATTTAAATACACTTTCCTCTGTATTCTCATTATGGTAATTCATGACAGCGTTGATAAAGCACAACGTCCTCACACCTTCAGCACTCATACATCCCTATAGAAGAGCTTTTACTAGCACTGAATGTCACTGTGGGAATCAGGCACTTCTCTCTGTACTCCTCCTCTAGCAACACCATAACATTTTGGATGCTGTTAGATCCAAAATTATTGACTTGGTCTTATGAGATCAGAGTATGGATTCCCAGAAGTCTATATTTTGTAAATATGGGCCTGGTGTGGATAAACAACCATGCATGTCACTTCTGCAGGCTGCATCTTACTCTGTGAGACAAAGCGTCACTCTTTTCATAGCTTTTATCGGCTCTGAGATAGGCTTGCCGCGATGGACAGTGCTGACGGTGATACCGGTGTTAAGCCGCAACACCGGTTACGTCACTTGCCCACCGATTTTAAATTAGGCATAGCCTGCCCTATAGCATGGTATATTTTTATTTGTTTTGTTAATAAAAGTTCTATGTCTTATATATACGCTAAAGTGAGTTTGACGTTGTATTTTGTTGTTGCATTCAAGCAATTGATGCCTAACTGCTGCTAATTCTAAAGTGAAAGTAAAATGCACACGGCGCTTTTAAGCTATCTAAAAGCGAAGGAAAGCGAGGAAAAGAGAGAAAATTCAAACGAACTTAAAAATGAACAATTACTTTACTCCGAATTGCCACTATTTGAAAGTGAAAGTAAAATGCGCACACCGCTTTTACAAGCTATTTAAAAGCGAAGGAAAGTGAGGAAAAGAGGGAACGCCCCCGCGGTGATACCGGTATTTCCGGTGTTGTCACACGTCGATGAACCGGTGGGAAAATTTCCTCACCGTCACAACCCTACTCTGAGACACAGAGCTTAAAGTGAACACCTGATTATTTTAGGGGCCTTTTCACAAGTCCATTGTTTTTGAATTTCTGTTTTACTTTTGTATATTTTCACACTTAAAACAATGATTTGGTATTCCTCTTGTACCATTGTACCCTTTTGTGCTAAGAAATAAATCTCCTGACAGTTCTCTCAAGTGGCTACATTATCACCATTAAGTCTGAGTATGATTCAGTGGGCTATATAACACTTTTTAAAGGGGACATCGGATGCCCATTTTCCACAAGTTGGTATGATTTTTAGGGTCTTCATGAAATGTCTGCAACATACTTTGGTTAAAATTCCTCAGTGGTCGTGTAAAACAACACCCTTTTTACCTTGCGGTTTCGTTGCATGTCTCGTTAAATGCTAATGAGCTCTGTTCACCCCGCCCCTTTCTTATGTGGAAAAGGAAAGGCAGTTTGTAAATAATCATAAAAAATATAAAGTGTGAGACTTGCTGCAGCTGGATCACGAACAATGGATACTGATCCATCCTTGAGTTTTAACTTTTTAACAAAACCTGCCTTGAATTGTCCCTCGTTCAGAAAGTAGTTTGGAGTAAAATTATTTGCGCAGACATAAATGAATTTAGGTGTATTCGGTGGCGCATTACCATAGTAACGGATGGCCGCCTCGGTGTGGAGCTCTCCACATACAATATACTGTCTACTGTCTTTTTGTCTATTGTGTATTGTTTTTACATATTTATTTTTATTTTGTTACCTGTGTCTGGTCACTTGTCAACCTGTCTGTGCACTGGAAGCCTCTGTCACCAAGACATATTCCTTGTGTGTGTAAGCACACTTGGCAATAAAGATCTTTCTGATTCTGATCAAAAACAAAACTAATCCACTGCATCCTCAGTGGCTGCATCCTGCATTGCTTACAACTCATTGTTGTGGCTACAACTGCTGGAGCGCGGAGAAAATTGGAAAATTGTTAACCGTTTTGGTTCAACATACTTACCTGTTGATCAAAAAATGCCTTGAACTTACACCAGAATTTTTTTTTATTTGTTATATTTTAAATAACTTTCAGATGGGTGTACATTTTTGCAACACAGCATTTTATCACTTTGATATAAAAAAAGTCTTATTTTCCTGAATAATTTTAACATGCTTCTTTGGTAGCTGATCAAGCAGACTTGCTGGAACATTATATCTCTAAAGAGCCCTAACATGTCTTCTAAGTAAAGAGTAATTGCTGAATTTGTTAAGTTTCAGAGGGGGTGTACTCATTTATGCTGTGCACTACATATCTGTACGGAAACATCATTTCTGTAAATACTGAAATGCATTTATGCTGTAATGGATTTATCAACAATTTGTTGAATCAATTAAGTTTACAGGTATTAAACATTTGATTGAGTCACTGAAAGTCAGAAAATCAGATGACACTGGAAGTCAAGAGCCACCTGTCAATCATCTAGAGATGCGTTCGGCGATATCACATGATGATGAGTGTTGGCATTGATCACATGACTGATATTTAGAGCAGTATGACAGTATGCAAGGACTGATGATGTGTGTCTGTAGGGTTCTGGTTGGTGTGGACCCTCATCATCATGCTGAGCTGCTGCTGCGCATACAGACACCGACGCGTCAAGATGCGCCTGCAGCAGGAGCAGAGACAGAGAGAGATCAGTCTGATGGCATATCAGGGCGCCTCCAGCTCCTTCATCACTCCTCCTCCTCTCAACCTACGTGAGTACCGTGTCCACACCACACCATCACCGATGCCTGACTCGTCGTCAGCTCACAAGAGCGTTCAGCGTGATGCTTTACATGCGTGTAACAGTTTGTCATAGTGTGACCCTCGTCTCCAACACGAGTTTCTGCACATTGTTCTCATCAGAAAGGGCCACTTTGCACTGTAAGGATGGTCAGGATGTGCCACTGCTCAACAGCTCACTAGTGAGCTTGACTAGTTTCTGAAATTCGCAGCAGTGCTGTTTTAGGGGACTAGAGTAACAATGCTGTGGGTTTTAACGTAACTAAAGATCTTCCAGGAGTCTTCATTCATCCTCTTTAAAGCACAGAAATATCTGTAACACATTCAACCATTGATCTCATCTGCGTGTTTGGATTATTTTAGATTCAATTTTACAGAAATGATCAGAAAATACAGTAAAATGTTGGCGTCGCTTGACATACGAATGACCAGGGAGTTCAGATATCTTTTGTTTATAGTGCAAACCTTGAGAAGGTCATGCTGTGAATTAAAGGACTCATTCACTCACAAATTAAAATGAGCATTTACTTTGGGGACCAGTTCTCACTATTATCTAGTTGCTTATTAGCATGCGTATTACTAGCATATTGGCTGTTTATTGGTACTTATAAAGCACATATTAAAGGGGTCATACCTAAATTTAACAACTACCTTACTAACTATTAATAAGCAGCAACATTTTTAGTTAATAATTAAAATTTGACCTTAAAATAACATGTGATCTCATTTACTCATCTCTATGCTGTTTGTTCTTCCATGACACAAGGGAGATGTTCTCAAAGATGTTCACAAAGAAGATGTCCTCAGCTGAATAAAATGTAATATTAACATTAGCCCATATGACTCAAAAGCTGCTATATTTCAGTGAAGGCAAATGTGAATGATGTTGGATAGTCATATTACAT